ATGTTCTATGGTGTAGATATGCTACAGACATGTACTATGACCATTACTGGCTTCCTAATAGTGGCATAAGGAGATGATTGAAGCCCCATTCCTTTTTGCATCAATGCTGTGCAAATTAAAAAAGAGCAAGCTTTTGATCATTGAGTGTTGCATGATTTTCCTGCAAAAACATTGTCTCTTCTATCTTTCACAGAAAAGAGAAGCACTGCCAAATTAGGTTTAAAACATAGGAATAAATCTTATACCATAGGGCAATAGATTTTGACTGAACATTACAAGAAACAGTTATTCATTTATTGAAACCAGTACAAACCATTTCAAACACTATTCTTCCCATATAAAGTATTCACCAAGTATTTGAAAACATATATTTGCTTTTATGGGAAGGAAAATATCTATAAATACTTTGTGTTCATATACTTACTGGTAAACAGTATATTTTCCTTGAAATGGAGCAACTGGGCATGGCCAACTCATCTTGGCCAATTTGCCATCACTAACTTGCCATGGTCAACTTGCTGCAGTCAACTCACCACAGGACAACTCGCCGCAGAACAAGAATTACTCTACTATCAAAGAAATGGTGGAATAGAACTATTAAAGGAAGGATGCCAAGGGAGGGACAAAATGAAAAGTGTATGATAAAAAATAATATATATTTTTATTATTTTAAATATTTAAATTTATTTATTTATTTTATTTTATTTATGAGACTTATATACCGCTTTAAGTGCAAGCACTCTCTAAGCGGTGTACACCAGTAAGCAATGTATATATATTTTACATTGCCCCCAACAGTCTGGGTCCTCATTTTACCTACCTCGGAAGGATGGAAGGCTGAGTCAACCTTGAGCCGGTGAGATTTGAACCGCTGACCTGCTGAACACAGTCAGCTAAAGTGGCCTGCAGAACTGCACTCTAACTGCTGCACCACCTCGGCTCACAATTGAATTGTGAATTGTCCTACAGCAAGTTGTATCATGGTGAGAGGACCACAGAGAGTTGTCTCGGGGTGAATTGGCCATGGCAAGTTGGCTGTGTCAAGTTGGCCACACCCAGCATTTCAAGAAAAATATACTGTTTATCAGTAGGTATATGAACACAAAGTACTTACAGATATGTTGTGACATTTAAGCTTGTTTTTTTTCAGAGAGAGTTATTTCAAATTACTAATGCACTAATTTTCTTGGGATATCCATTATTCATCTATACTGGACTCTGTGGTACTGCAGATATACTTATAAAATATAATTTAACAGAATGAAAAAGTATTGTAATCTCATCCAACTCATAATCAGAAAAGCATGGATTTCTAGGAAATGTATTATAGGCTGTGTAATCTTTCTTCAGTGATACCTTAATGAAAACACCATTAAGTAAGATGTTGCATTGAGAGGTAATTTATCTCTTTTCTATATATCATACTTTTTCTTTGTGTGTATCAACTCTTTCATCCTTCATTTAACTCTTTATTGTAGATGTGAAAGCCATGTTATAGCACTAAAGAAACACTGTATATTAACACTGCATCCTCATAATTTAGAAAAAAAAACCTTAATTCCTATTAAATTTGAAAGGGATTCAACCTCCTAGAGGTAAGTAAAGCAGTGTTTTAGCATTAAAAAAGATTTTGGATAGAGGTGATTTTGGGGGCAGGAATATAATATTTAATTTATTAAATAATATATTAAAATGTATAAGTGTCAAGCCCCGGGGCTTGACACGAACTGGTGGGGGAAAGGGAAGGAGCAGCCAGCAGCCAGCCAACATCTGTGTACCGACCCCGTGTGCTGCCCGACACCTGAGGACCAGCCAGGCATTGGCGAGGTCGCCATACACCGCAGCTGCCTCCCCCTTGTAACTGGGCACTGGAGGAGTCCCAAAAGCCAGCTGGGCTGAAGCATCATTTAAATTGAATACAAACTATGGCGGAGTCATAATAGTTACAGATATATGCTAATCAGATTCCTTAATGAATAATAAAGAATAATAAAAATGAATAATGACATAGAAGGAAATGAAGATTTAAAATAAGAATAGTGGTGATTATTGATAAGTATAAACTATAGCAGAGGTGTTAAACTTTCAATGTCATATGATGTGTCTCAACATATTGTGACTTTTTTTCCATTGCCAGCAATGGGGTGGGCATGGTTTTGTCATGATGCATCCAGCCCAAGGGTCGGCATTTTGACAGCCCTGAACTATAGGATAATTTTCTTTTCCTTTTTAGTTTGCATTTTTAATTTTGAAACAGGTTTGAAATTGTATTTTGCAGCTTGAATTTTGTTTTGGATGAAAACAATGGTTTTTTGCTGAAAAATAGAAGGCTTCGGTAATTAGAAAGATACAACATGAGATCTGGATAGCATGGATTTCATAGTATAATGTAATCAAGGTTAATGTGGATCTTAAAAATCATAATGTTATACATATCTTGGAAATATGTACCAGATATGCATGGCTTTGAATACTGTAAAACTGAATTTGACATAGAATAGTACATAAATGATGAAAATGTGACAGCTAAAATGTATAAACCTTTACTGAAAATTAACACAGAAAAACAAATGAAATAATTTATGATGAAGTAGGATAAAATCTTTGATTACAATACACAGATGGAAAAAATGGGAAAGTATGTGATTGAAATGATTTTTCATTTACATTTACATTATATTACAATCTAAGGAGAATTTTAATAAAGCAATGTACTACTGGTATATATCACCAGAGAAATTGGAAATGCAAATTACTAGAAGGAACATTATATATATATATTTGGTGGACATATAAAAAATTCTGGAAGCAAAGACGTAGTCTGATTCAGAGGCTTGTAAAGTTAAATACACAATTTAAATTTAAGTTTTTGTTTTGTGATTGATGGAAACATGTCATAGAACTTTATTTTTATATATGAGAACTGCAGTAAGTTTATTGTATGCACAACGATGCACAACACATTACCCATACTTTAGGAATGGTTGGTGAACATGATGGAACTTGCTGTGATGGTTACATTGAGCTCTTTGATCAGATGATATGTACATATATTGCAGACAGGAAATGCCTTATTGATCTTTTACATGAAACAGACTAGCCACAAAAGGGAAATTCCAGAAACTTCCACATGTTTGACAGATTATCCACACTAGTTCCATAGAGTCAACCACTTATGTCCTCCTTTATTGTAAATTTTATATGGGAACTTGTGTCTGCTATATATCCCAACACTAACAAATATTCACAAGCTCTCAGATTTATTCTGTTTTTAGCACCCATTCTCAGACAAGAAAACTATATATCTAAAAAGTTTAGTTATACTATAGAACCAAACAGTAAAGTTATTGTATAGCTTGATGACTTAATACCTGAGTATATGTTTGTACTTTATAGTATATGTAATGACTTCTACTACTTTATTACTTTTTATATTATATATGTATATTGGGTGTGTTTATATTAACAATGATCTATGATCATAATATACATAGTTGATATATTTATGGTATACTTGATGGGATGAATTAAAATATTGTTTTTTCTTCCACTATAATGCTTATCTACATAATTTGATTTAGATAACTATATACATAATTGCAGTGAGTTATTATTAATTGGAAAACAAATAGAAATTAATTTATTTTTATCCATTTTAATGAAACTAAAATGTATTTTAATTTGAGGAAAAAAATAAAAATGTTACATTTAACCAAATATATATTGTATACTCACATACAAATATATATGAACATACTATGGGAATGACCAAGAAAAAGAAAGTATATAATATAGTAAATGAATTATGGTAAATATACTAATGTCTAAAAGAAAAATAATATGTTCCAACCTCCTCCAAAATTTTAAATGTCTTGGACTTTTATTCCTGAAGTCATCACATGTATAATTCAGACTAGTGTGCCCAGTATTCTGGACCTGGATGGTAAAGTGTTTTTCTAGACTCTAGAATCTAGCTCAACATTGACTCAAGAAAGCTGTTCAGCTGAGATTTAATCTATAGAAGTGCCTGAGGTTTAATGCTGAGGACTGCACCTAAACATCCAGCTCATTAAAGGAAGCTGGCATTTGTCAATCCACTTCATGGTCCATTGTTTAGTTCCCTTTTTCTATTTTTTCTTTTCAATGGAACTATAGCATACATCATCATCATCATCATCATCTTCATCACCATCATTATCATTATCATCAATATCATCATCATAATCCTTATCCTATACCATATAACTTGAACCATTATAATTAATATATAAAATGAACCATTTATATTAGGCTTGCATTCAGAGGGCCATGGAGGAAATAGATTATCTGAAACGTTTTCAGTTGGAATTCAGACAAGTGGTACATTACTATGGCAGCTTTGATCACGTTTGTCAATGATTTGTGGCAAGTTTGGAATAGGGGTAATGCTTGATCTCCCAGCAGCCTTTAGTACTATTGACCTACTAGACTAATTTAGGTAATTAGGAATGCAAGGAGCACTATTGTGCCATGATTCTTCTCCTTCCTCCAGACCTGGTTCCAAATGATGTTGGTGAGAGGGAAGTAGTAGACCAGTTGCTCCCATTTTTATACTAGAAGGCCTTACTCATGGGCACTCACACTTTAAACACATAATGGTTGCATCCTGATCTACATGGGATTGACTTTGAGGACCTTCATAAGCTTCAATTGATTCAGAATACAATGGTACAGGTTGTTAGGTGTGCAGTTCATTGTATCCACATTGCAACAAAACTGTACAACCTGCACTGGCTCCCAATAGGTTTCTGGGAACAATTCACAATGTTGGTTTTCACTTTTAAAGTCCTACATACTATAGCGCCAGGTTATTTGCAGTACTTGCTGGTATTCCCATTGATAAGTGATGCAACATTACATGTTGATTGCTGGCTTTTTTGCTTCAGCCAACAAGGGAACAAAAAGACCCAAACACCTCCCCACTAGTAATCAACACCCAGATGAGCATAGATAAATTCCAAGAGTAACATCAGACTAACATCCATGAACTGGAAGGAACTGCCAAACAAGCTAACAGCAAAAAGTTCACCAAAGAACTTCCATGACCTGCCAACACTGACAGGGCAAGTCACTAGAATATAAACTGAGAGAGACCCCTTCCTTTCTAATTAGCATTGATAATGTTACTTAGTTTGGATAATGAAATGTCTGCAAGGAAACGAAGCTCAAGAGCATCAAGGACCCCTAAAGGGTTATCTAGTGATTATACAACAAATTGAACAATGATGTCCAGGGAAATAGTCATTTAACATAATTAGAAAAGAAACATAAATCAATGCTGTCAAATAAATATTCTTCTACTGATATTCATATTTGAAAGAAGAAACTAGTCATGTTACCACAATATGGCAGACTTGGATATAGCATTTTCTTGAGAATGGAACACAGATTAAAAAAAACAGTAGTTAAGGTTATGCATATTAGAGAATTAATTTACTTTCAAGTGAGAAATTTAAATAAAGAGGAACCTAGAGAGTTCAGTAAGTATGAAGTGTTTGTGCAGATTTATATATTAAAGTTGTAAATGTCTGCTGGACCTTTTGTTAATCTAATTTTATATGTGAATTATTTAATCAAGCAGTAAATTATTTATGCTTGACCATAAGCAGAATATCTAAAGCAAAGAATCCTTTGATTTTAAAGAAGGAAGAATGAATTAATACTGCAGAACTTCATGCATGAGACAGATTTCTCAAAGGTATTTACTTTTTCCTCCCATTAATTGAAGAAAGAAGCTTTATATACATAGAATTTGGTTGTTTACGGGATGACCAAAACATCTAATTTGATTTTGCTCATCTTGAATTAAAATTTGGAGCAACCTAAGCTTACAAGATGTTCTGCTTGATGATGAGAGAATAGAAGGCAAAAAATAATCTTAGTGATACTGAATGTTTTTAAAAAGTTGTCTACTTTATTAATTATATAAGAATAATGAAATAGTTCAATAAAAATTGAGATCTCTTATGTAAAGAATTGGCCTAAGCAAAATGATTAGCAGATATTTCAATTGACATCACTGAGACATATCCTAAGATCCACAATTTTTATTAGTAATACATTTTCCCCAGAGAACTAATTGTATTTGTTTCCCTTAAATCTTACTATCTTGTCTCAGTATGGGATGGAAGGGAGGTGTTTTTAGGAGAGATGAATGAAATAAGAAAAGAAGCAGTTTGGTCTATAGGTTAAGGCACTAGGCTATAACATGGAAGACTGTGAGTTCTAGTCCGATCTTAGGTATCAAAGCTAATTGGGTGACTTTGGGCTAGTCTCTCTCTCTCTCTCTCTCTCTCTCTCTCTCTCTCTCTCCCTCTCTCTGTCTCTGTCTCTCTCTCTCCACCTCACAGGGTTGTTTTTGTGTAGAAAATAGGAGGAAGAAGTTATGTCTTTTTGAATTATTTATTACAAAAAATAATAAAGATAGGAGAAAATTAAATAAATACCTAAAATACTATAGGTAGAAACTATGAGTATATACAGTTAGCAGAGTTATACAAAATTTGAAGGTATTCCCGGTTGCCCAGCTAAAGCAAGCAGGCACAGATTGGAGAGCGGCAATAAAATAAGATGGCCAAAGTGGAAATTTACTTTAGTAACAAGAATCATTTAAATGCATGGGAAAAGACAATAATAAATCATTCCTTTATCTTACCAAGAAAACCGCATAATATATAAAGTGATATCATTTAAAAAGTGATTGACAATATAGTACCAGGTGATGGGCCCTTCAACTCAGTATTCAGCATGTTATGAGAAAAAGCTCAGGATTAATTGGAGATTTTATTTGTCTCCTTTTATTTGTCTCCTGATGCTAGCTCAACAGTACAATCTTAAATATAAATATTCCTGTGAATTTAGCAAAATATTTTACTCATTGTTTTGGTTAAATCAGATGCCAAAAGCATTACAATGTTGTTAGCTGTCATAACACTAGTTCTTTCTCTCCGTCTCTCCTTGTTGGAATCTGTCTGACTGTCTATCTATCTATCATCTATCTATCTAACATTATTTTTTTGCTTATATCTAATTAATAAAGGATAATGCTTTCTCTCCCCTTTTTAAAAGAGAAAAATGTTTTACCTCCTCAGAATCATACATTAGATGCTGCTTAATTTATTAATTCAGATATCTGCTTATTTGTCATCAATACTTTTAAGTCAGTATGAGAGTGCTGAGAGATTTTTTTTAAACTTCTTGTGAGTCATTATATATTACCAATGCAGTAAGAAAATTATAGTTATTCAGTAGCTGAAAGTAAAGATACAATTTTGGTTGTCACTTATATTCTCATTAATTCAGAGTATCAAGAACAGTTTTTCTCTCTACAGACTACTTACACAAGAAAGGAATGGATAATCAAAGTTTTGTTACTGATTTCCAACTCTTAGGATATTCTGATATTCTGGCACTTCGCATTTTAACATTTGGAGGATTTTTGCTTATCTATCTGGCTGCATTGATTGGAAACCTTCTCATGATAACTGTTGTAATTCTCAACCCTCATCTTCAAACACCAATGTATTTTTTCCTAGTTAATTTAAATATTGTTGATCTAAGTTTCATTTCAGTCACTGTTCCAAAAGCTATGGCTAATTCAGTGATAAATACCAGGAGGATATCATATTATGCATGCATGGCACAAGTCTTTTTCTTTTTTTGGGCAGGAGCATCAGAGTTCTTGCTCCTGACATTGATGGCCTATGATCGCTATGTTGCTATATGTAATCCATTGAATTATGTGAAAGAAATGAACCGGGAGACTTGTTTGAAAATGGCCACCAGTGCATGGATCTTTGGATTTTTTGATGCATCACTAAACACAGCTTGTACTTTTACTATCACATTCTGTTCCAACAAAATCAACCAGTTCTTCTGTGAAATCCCACAGCTCCTGAAGCTTTCATGTTCCAGTTCCTCCTATCTCATTGAACTTGGGCCCCTTGTATTTACTGTGTTAATATGTGTAGGCTGCTTTAGTTTCACAGTTATCTCTTATGTGTACATCTTTAGAGCTGTTTTTATTATTCCTTCTGTGGAAGGAAAGAAAAAAGCTTTTTCAACTTGTCTGCCCCACTTGGCTGTGCTCTGCTTGTTCTACTTTACTGGAGTCTATGCCTGTTTGGGAACAATGTTCAGAACCTCATCAGGGTTGGATCTGCTACTTGCAGTTTTGTACTCAATGGTCCCTCCTTTCATGAACCCCATCATTTACAGCATGAGAAACAAAGAGATCACAACAGCACTTTGGAAGCTCTCACATAAAACAAGAAATATGATTTCAGTTTAGATATCTGATTCCATCTTTTAAAATACAAATCAAAATAAAGGTAGTTGATTAAACTCCAATTAACTTAACAGAAGATGTTACCAGTCACTAGCAAATTGTAATGATGCCAGACCATATGCACTGTAGTTTGTAAGGATAAGAACTCAAACAGATGCTTTGTATAAGACATGTTGCCAAGGAAAGGGAGGGAGCTCATAAGGGCAGAATCGGGAGAAAAAGAAGAAATATATTCCTCATGATTAGGGACAAGAATTTTGATAGAATAAGAATAATAGGAATCCATCCTGCATAAAACTTAAACATGAAAGGAAGTACAACCAGGAGCATCTTTATTGTGGGGTTACATTAAACAGAATCTTGCAAAAATGAAAGTATTTCTCCTGTCCTCTTTTACAGTTTCTGGAAAACTAGAGAGGATCCCTTCTGAAAAGTTTCCCATCTTTCCCCTCCACTTGTGGTCGAAGCTGCTTCTTATCTGACTATTACCTAGGCTTTGGTACATCCTCTTGTCTCCCATTCCCTTATGTGATCACAAGGTTAGAGGATTGGCACAAATATACTGCTCCTTGTTTGATCTGGGCCAGTTAATTCGGTGTTCTTCAAGACTGGGAACCTAACTCAGCAAGATACCAGGAAGACTGTGGAACTGAAGATGAGGAAGAAACAAAGTAAAGGGACATAGTTAAAAGCCTTGAGTGGAACTTTGCAGTTTCAAATCCAATTCTGCAAAGGATATTGACCCTGCCCCTATGTCTGATGCATTGTTCAGTTTCCTTCTCTATTTTTTTCTTCTTCAGCAAATATCAGTATCATCTTCATCTCCATCAGCATTACCATCATCATCCTCATCCTCTGCAAAATAGCTTTATGATTAAAACAACTAATTTATAAAAATTAAAAGATTTTTTTTTAAAAATCTGCCCATTTTAGGAACAATTAAGCAGTGGAACAGCTTGCAGTCAGAAGTTGTAGATGATTCTTAAGAAGAGACTAAACAGTTTGTTGTCTGAAATGGTATTGGGTCTCCTGCTTGAGCAGATGGTTGGATTAGAAGACCTCCATTGTCCCTTCCAGCTCTATTCTGATTGATTGAGTGATTGAATGAGTGATTGATGAAGACAGTTAATTTTTCATTTAATTTGGGTTATGATGCAAAAGGAGTTTTGCAGCCCAGTTCATCTTTCAGAATGAGTTTCATTATAATTCCCATCATCTTTGTGAGTTGCAACTATTGAGCATGCTTTATTGAATAATAAATATTATATTCACAACCCAATATGAGAGTAGGTGGTTGGAGAAGATGTGCTTGACTTAGTGTGCAAGAGAGCAACTGCTAGGATAACAACGCAAAAATGAATTCTCCTCCATGGTGGAATGATCATATATGAATCCTCAGTGAATTCAACTGAAATGCTGCTATTATTACTGCAGTATCTACATAATTAGTCTTAACATGACCAATACAATAGCCAATTTTTTTTTGAGACTGCATTAAAAATGAAGGAAATCAACCCTGACTGTTCTTTTGAAGGACAGATACTGGAGCTAAAGCTCAAATACTTTGGCTGCCAAATGAGGGGGGAAAAAGACTCATTAAAAAAGACCCTTATGTTGAAAAGATCGAAGGCAAAAGAAGAAGGGGATGGCAGAGGATGAGATGATTAATTAGTGTCATCAATGCAATAAACATGAATTTGGACAAACATTGGAAGACAGTGGGGATGGTATGCTATGGTTCATGGGGTCATGAAGAATCAGAGACTACTTAGCAATTGAACAACAATAACAAGTGAAAATGAGGAAACTACAAATACAAATGTGATATGTCTGTCAGTTGGAGATGGATCACTAATCTTATTTATTTTATTTTATTTTTCTTTAATTATTTTAGTATGTTGACATTTGATCACAATTGGTTTGATCCTACTATTAATTTTATTATATACAAAGTAAATATATGCATTTATTTTTTTCCTTTTTTTATTAAAAGTTTTACAAATTCAACACATTATAACCCAAACACCTTCCACCCCTTCCCCCCTCCCCCACTTTCCAGAGCTAATTACAGGGTAAAAAAATAAACAAACATAATCTAACTAACATAACCCGACTATACTATCAATCAAATCCATAACACACTTTAACTCCTTTTCAAAACAAGTATTAACAAACTAAAAACAATAATAATAATATAATTAAACCATAATATTAAAAATAATATAAATTCAACCATATTGAACTATTAAAAATAATCTAAAATCTATTCATAAGCAAGATAATACTTTTCAGTCTCATATTTCTTTTGAATATAATCAATCCATCTTCTCCAAACCGAAATATATTTTTCTTGTGAATGGTCCTTCAAATAGGCAGAGATTTTCGCCATTTCTGCTAAATTAGACACCTTAACTATCCATTCTTCCATAGTAGGCAAAGAGTTTTTCTTCCAATATTGCCCCACAAGTAATCTTGCAGCTGTTATAAGATTCAGCATCAAATCAATTTCTTTGACATCAAAATCTACAATAAAACCCAGCAAAAATAATTGCGGAGTAAACTTTATCTTTCTCTTAAAAATCTTTTGAATATTCCACCAAATGTTAATCCAAAAAGCTTTTATATCTCTACAAGTCTATCAAATATGAAAATATGTTGCGTCTAAGCTTCCACATCTCCAACATTTGGGCTGTAAATTAGGATGCATGCGGGACAACTTTTGGGGATCCAAATGCCATCTATAAAACATTTTATAAAAAATTTCTCTTAAATTTTGCGCTTGAGTAAATTTTACATTTCTTACCCAAATTGTCTCCCATGTATCCAATAAAATTGGCTCCTGAATATTTTGAGCCCATTTAACCATACAATCTTTAACTAACTCAGTTTCAGAATCCAATTCTATTAAAACATTATAAATTCTCTTTATATGAGCTCGAGTTTGGTCTTTAATCTGTTTTACCAAATTCACATCCTCTAAAGTAATACCAACCTTTTGATCTATACTCCACCTCACTAACAATTGATTATACTGAAACCAAGAGTGTACAATATTTCCTTGCTTCAACTCACCTAGAGATTTTAATTGCCAGTCCTTCCCTTCCAAACTAAGTATTTCCTTATAAGAAATCCTATCCAAATTCACTCCTCTACATACCCCCTCTATAATGTGTCTGGGAATCCCCCAATTGGAATTTTATAATTCAACTTATAATAATATTTCTTCCAGACACGTAATAAAGCATTTCTTAAAATATGAGATTTAAAAACCTGATCCACCTTTTTGTCATAAATTAAATATGCATGCCATCCATATAATAAATCCCATCCCTCAAGAAAAAGAATATTTTTATTTGTTAAGTTAAGCCAGTCACTAATCAATGTTAACGCCACCGCATCATAATACAATTTTAGATTAGGCGCCTTGAGTCCTCCTCTCTCCTGTGCATCTTGTATAATCTTAAACTTAACTCTTGGTTTTTTTCCCTGCCCAAATAAACTTGTTAATCCCCTTCTGCCATTCCTCCAAATTAGCATCTTTTTTTAAAATAGGTATCATTTGGAACAAAAAAAGAAACTTTGGAAGAATATTCATTTTAACTGCTGAGATTCTCCCCAGTAAAGATAACTGTAATTTTTTCCAATCATTTAAATCCTTTTGCACTTTTACCCATAATGTCTCATAATTATTTTTATACAATTTAACATTAGAAGCTGTAATGTATACTCCTAAATATTTAACCTTTCTCACTATTTCAAAACCTGTTAATTTAGCCAAAGTATCCTTTTCCTTCATAGACATATTTTTCGATAATATTTTAGTCTTATTATTATTTACCTTAAAACCAGAAACCTTCCCATACTGAGTTAAAATTTCAACCAGATACCTAACCGAGTCTATCGGTTGAGATAATGTCACAACCAAATCATCAGCAAAAGCTCTCAACTTATAATCATTCTTATTTATTTTTATTCCCTTTATTCTAGATGGTTCTCGAATTTTAATAAGTAAAATCTCGATTGTTAAAACAAATAACAATGGGGACAAAGGACATCCCTGTCTAGTGCCCTTTTCAATGTTAAATGCATCTGTTAATCCACCATTAATTATAATTTGTGCAGATAGTTATAATAATAATAATAATAATAATAGTAAAGTTGGAAGGGACCTTGGAGGTCATCTAGTCCAACCCCCTGCTCGGGCAGGAAACCCTACACCATTTCGGACAAATGGCTGTCCAGTCTCTTCTTAAAAACTTCCAGTGTTGGAGCATTTACTGCTTCTGGAGGCAAGCTGTTCCACTGATTAATTGTTCTCACTGTCAGGAAGTTTCTCCTTAGTTCTAGGTTGCTTCTCTCCTTGATTAGTTTCCACCCGTTGCTTCTTGTCCTGCCTTCAGGTGCTTTGGAAAATAGCTTAATTCCCTCTTCTTTATGGCAGCCCCTGAGATATTGGAATACTGCTATCATGTCCCCCCTTGTCCTTCTCTTCGTTAAACTAGACATACCCAATTCTCGCAACCGTTCCTTATATGTTTTAGCCTCCAGTCCCCTAATCATCTTTGTTGCTCTTCTCTGTACTCTTTCTAGAGTCTCAACATCTTTTTTACATCGTGGTGACCAAAACTGGATGCAGTATTCCAAGTGTGGCCTTACCAAGGCATTGAAGAGTGGTATTAATACTTCACGTGATCTTGATTCTATCCCTCTGTTAATGCAGCCTAGCACTGTGTTGGCCTTTTTGGCAGCTGCCGCACACTGCTGGCTCATATTTAAGTGATTGTCTACTAGGACTCCGAGGTCCCTCTCACAGTTACTACTATTGAGCATGGTGCCACCTATGCTGTACTTGTGCATTTGGTTTTTCTTGCCTAAATGTAGAACCTTGCTTTTTTCACCATTGAATTTCATTTTGTTAGTTAGTGCCCAGTGTTCAAGTCTGTCCAGATCCTTCTGTATCTGAAGCCTGTCTTCTGGAGTGTTGGCTATTCCTGCCAGCTTGGTGTCATCTGCAAATTTGATGAGTTCCCCATCTATCCCTTCATCCAAATCGTTGATGAAGATGTTGAAGAGTACTGGGCCCAGAACAGAGCCCTGGGGCACCCCACTACACACTTCCCTCCATATAGATGCAGTTCCATTGAGGACCACTCGCTGAGTACGGCCGGTCAGCCAGCTACGGATCCATCTGGTGGTGGTTCTGTCTACCCCACATTTTTCTATCTTGTCAAGTAGTAGGTTGTGATCTACTTTATCAAATGCCTTACTGAAGTCCAAGTAAATTATGTCCACAGCATTCCTCTGATCCACTAATTTTGTCACTTGGTCAAAGAATGCAATAAGATTTGTCTGGCATGATCTATTTTTGACAAAC